TTCCCTTTCCCAAGAAAATTCACGCATTTATTTATTATTATTATTATTATTATTATTATTATTACGTATTCAAAACCTCTTATCGTTTTATTTTTTAAATTGATTATTATGATATTCCAATAAAATGTTTTTAAAATCTCGCAAATATTAATATTATTATTATTATTATTATTATTATTAATTTTTTGTTTTTGTTTTGTAAACTTAAAAATAATTATGTATAAATAAAATTATTATCATCAAATAAATAAATAAATAAATTAAATAAATTTGAAAAAAAAAGTTGCATTGCTCATTTATATATTTCCATATTAATTTTTTTGGGCAAATTATTTTAATAACTCTAAATAAATTATTATTATTATTATTATTGTAATTAGTATATATTTGATGTAATTAATAATAAATAATTAATTAATAAAAAAACAGGGAAAAAAAATAAATAAATAATTTTTCTCTTTATTAATGTATGTATATACAAATAAATTTATTTATTTATTTTTTTTCCCCGATATTTTTTCCGTTTTTATTGAAATTAACATAATTTATGTATTATGAAAGGGTTTGACAGTTAATATGTTAATTTCATTTATGTATTTTAATTTATTATTAAAAAAAAATTATTAATTAATTTTAATATTTTTATTTTTGCAATTATTATTATTATTTATATATCTATACCTGTAAAAATATTTTAATAAACAGGTACGAAAGTGAAAAAAAAATTATGTAAATAAATTTTTATTTATCTATTATGTTACATATGTTCCGCGTTACTATGTTTTTTTATGTAAATAAAAAAAATTTGGCGATAATAATGATAAATAACATGTATAATAATGATAAATACATTTACAAAAAGTTAATAATTTTTGTTATTAACCAGGTACAAATAAAAATTTCAAAACTGTTTTGATTAATTTTTTTTTTTTTTTTTGTTAATTTTTTCAACAAATACAAAAAAACTTATTAATGATAATAATAATAATAATAATAAAGGCATTTATGTAATTTTACAAAAAACGTTTTGTTAATTAATAATAATAAATAAATACATAAGAAAAAAATAATAACGGATTTGAAAAAACGAAAACATTTTCATTTATTTATTTATTTATTTTATTAAGATTCGATTTTACTTAAAATTTCATCCGGAGGGGGGGGGAAATTTAAATTAAAAAACTACGAGGGGGGAGAGGAGGAATTCAAGATGAATCACATGCTAATAGAAAAATTATTATTATTTTGTTAAAACATTCCATCATTATTGTTTCCGTTATTAAACGGGTGGAAAAAAATTAAAATAAAATAAAATAAAATGTAAATAATAATAATAATTAAATTTTATTAACGGTTATTATTATTATCATTATTATTATTATTATTATTTATCAACCAATAAATAAATAAAAACATAAATAAAACAAATTTGCCCAAAAATAAAAAATAAAAATAAATAAAAATAAATTCATTATAAAATATTAATTAACGATTAATTTTAAGTGTGAATAATAATAATAATAATAATAATAATAATAATAATAATAATAATAATAATAATAATAATAATATTAATAATAATATTTATTAAGAAAGTGTAAGAATTAAGAAAATAATTATCGAAATTACCGATTTTTGATTTTTTTTTCTTTTCTAAAGTGAAGAATTTCCCAAAAAGAAAAAAAGTCAAAAATGGATTATATATTGGAACGCACAAATATCTAAAAAGTTTGACGTATAAAAAAAATTTAAAGTATAATAATATATATATATATCTAAATATATATATATATATATATATATATATATAATATATATATATATATAAATGTATATATGTATGTATGTATACGATTATTTAGATGTTTTCATTATTATTATTATTATTATTTTTTATTTATTAACTTTTTATCACGAGTAATAGTTAACGTAAAACCGGATTGATTTATAATAAATTTTTTTTTTTTTTTAAACGAGTATAAATATATACACAAACGACACGCAACACACACGAATATTTATTTATATATATATACATACATATAAAATAAAAATGTAATGATAATAATAATAATAATTGAGTAGAAACGGAAGTTATAAAAAAAAAAATTAAAGCACTCACTTTATAATTTATCGAAAGCTTTTCTCGGGGTGTGTGTGTGTGTGTGTGTGTTGGATTTATAAAATATTTATTAGTTAATATATATTGTAAAAAAATATGTTTATCATTGTTTAATTAAAATGTGTAATTGTATATTATAAATATTAATAATAATAATAAAAATTTTTCAAAAAAAACATGGCGTTTCGTTGAAATTTATCCGTTAATCCCAAAATTTTCCTTTTTTTCCTATCGTTCCTATCATCTCATTATTTTCATTTTGAAAAAAAAGCAATTATCAATGCTTGAAAGAGATTGAAGTGATTAATAATAATAATAATAATAATTAAATAAAATAAATAAATAAATAATTAATAATAATATAATTAAATAAGGCAAACATTTATTATTACAAGCACACATTTACACGTTTATTACAATCAAATTATTTTTTATTTATTTATTAATAATTAAATAAATTTAATAAAAAAAATCGATTTTATGTATTTATTTATTTTTATTACCCTTAACTATAATAATAATAATAAAATTCAATAATATAATAATTTAAATATTAAAAAAAAAAAAAACGATTTGTAGACTCTAAGTAACACGTAATGCGTTTAAAATAGAAGTAAATTTTCTTCAATGTTTAGCTTATGAGGGAGGAGAAAAGGGCGGTTCAACCGTACAATCAAAAATTTTTGGTCCCACACAAAAAAGGAGGGGAGGGGGAGGGAATTTTTTTTTTTTTTAATTTTAAAATTAATAATATTCTTTCTCGTATCGACAGGAAGCGGGGAAGGGGAGGGGGCGGGCGGGTGATGGGAGAATTTAAGTAAGAAAAAAAATTTTTTTTTTTTTTTTAAATGATGTACATTAAATATAAAATATATCATTCAATATCGTATAATTAATTTTATTAAAATATATATAAATATATATGTATGTATGTATGTATAAATATTTATTTATGTATACACTCGTACAAATATTTTACGTCTAAAATAAAAATACTGTAGAAAACTACACACACACACAAAAATAAAATCAATATTAATTAATTAATTATTATCGATAAGATTAATAATAATAATAATAGTAAGGACATTTTATAACATTTATTAATTATTTTATTACGTTTCTTTTTCTATTTATTTATTTATTATTAAATTCATTATTGTTTATCATAATCATTTTTTTTTTAATTAAAAATTACAAATACTACTAATAATAATACAAAAATACATATTTTACGTTTTTAAATATAATTTATTATTATTATTATTATTATTATTATTATTGTTCTCGTAAATACTTATTATTGTTATTAATTACTATTATTAACATTAAATAAATGAAAAAAAAAAAAAAAAAAAATTTGTTGATTACATTGATTCGATTTTAAAATTTTATTTGATTTTATTACTAACGTTATCATTATTATTATTATCATTATTATTAAATTATTTTTAATAAGATTCGGATAAGATTCGATTTTTTTTTTGTGAAAACTACTATTTCAACGCTACACATTAAATAATTTTATTTATTTATTTTATTATTATGTATACATATATAAAAACATACGCGCACGCACGCACTCGCACACTCACACCCACAAAAATATTAATTAAATACATTTTGTTCCTTTCATTTCCTTTTCTTAAATAATTATAGATTCTAACATTTAAAATAATAATAATAATAATGATAGTAATTTTTTTTTTATTCCCGGAAACGGAAGCAAACGTCTACCAAAAAAAAAAAAAATAATAAACACAATAAATATTAATAGTAGTAATTAATAATATTAAAAAACTAAATAATTAAAAATCAGTCTTTAAATAAAATCACGTGATCATTGATTAAAAGAAAAATATATATTGATTCCGTGTTTAGTGG